ATCTGATTTTTTTGTTTGTTGGTTTTTTTGTTTTTTAACCTATAATCAGAAAGCTTTCTGGTGCTCCGTGTGACCTTGCCAAGCACGGACATCAGGGTTTGAGCCATAGCAACTGAGGGCTGCATGGGTCACAGAGGACTGTGCGTGTGGGAGGCACTCTGGGTCTCCTCAGCTTTTCTTAAAGCAGCTCTGCTCCCCTCTCATCAGCGGATGGTGACAGTGGGGTATCCACAAGTGAGTCATTTGAACAAGCATTGGGACGTGGTCAAGGGCATGCTTTTGGAGACAGATACTGGTTTCCATCCTGCTTCTGTCACTGAACAACTTGGATGAAATGTTCCAATTCTTCACCTATGAAATGGGAAAGTCAATATCTTTGTTTTGAGGAGGGGAGTACAATTAATGAATAATATTCACAACATTCTTAGTATGGTGCCTGGCACACTCTTGATAAATGACACCCACTTTAGCTACATTCCTAACAACCTCAACAGATACTCCTTGTTTTCTGTTCCTTTATTCCACCACCAAAAAAGAGAAATGGTGTGAAAGAAGGCAGGGAAACAGGACACAAGACCATGATACTGAGGATAAAGATTTTTGGGAAGAGGAACACAGGTAAGACATAGAGGTTTCCAGATGGTGGAATTTTAGGGTTTCGTCCCTTTCCCTTTCTGTTGACTCCCTTAGCTTCCCATTCTTTTTTTGTTTTGATGTTACTCATTTTTTTTTTTTTGGTCAAGGTGATGTTCAGAGGGATTACAGTTACATAAGTTAATACGTACATTTCTTGTCAAACTTGTTACCCCTTCCCTCATTTTTCTCCTACTTTCCCTCCCACACCCCATTACCCCTAAGTTGTACAGATCATTTCCAACATATTGTCTTGTGTATCTCACTGTTGCATTGGTTCCCCCCACCCTTGTTCTTTGTCCGCCATTCTGTTCACCTTTCTTTCTGTAATTCAAGTAAAGGTATATACAATACCAAGGTATCAAAATCAAATACACTGACAACAGGGGATGCACCGTTCTTTGAATCCTGCCACAGGACGGTAGAACATCAGGGAGTCTTTCCCCTTGGGAGGAAGAGCCTAGCTCCAGCCCGTTCAGGCCACACAGGGGAATAGTGGCCTTGTTCAACACTTGGCCCTGCCTGCTCTCCAGCAAGAACCACTACATTGTGGCTGACTCCCTAACTTGCAAATTTAAGAATTTTCTGAGTGTGTTCGCTTTGAAAAGACTATAGACCCTGGTGGGGGAGGCTGTCATCCAGAAAGTCATTGAAATGGAGATTTTTTTAAAAATCCAGAGATCTGGACTCAGGTTCAATTAGCATGGCTACCACCTCCTGTGCTGAATCTACTGAAAGTTGAATATTAGAACAACTAGCGCAGAACTTGGTGTATACATAACTGGAGCCTAATAAATGTTTGCTGAATGGATAAGCAAATGAAAAATCAACAGGTTAAAATTTATATATTATCATCGTAAGTCTAAACTAAAACCCAACATGTTAAAATATTTCATTTAAGGTTGGTATTACTCTTACGAATAATCAATTGTCTCATTTATTACTTAAAAATCTGTCTTCCTACCCACAGTAGTCTCCTCAATGATTCTTGAATTCAGCGTGGTAGAGGGAGTCCTAGTTTACTCCAGGTTTACAACTTAAAAACAAGTCACCTCACTAAGCTTCAGGTTCCACTCTGATGGGAATAATAACTGTCCTGACTATTAAAATCCTGAGATAACAGATGTGAAAGTGCTCTAAACTACACAGAACAACACTCACTTAAAGTCTAATTATAATGATGCTTATATCTCTGCCTTGGCACACATCACCCTCCACCTGGCATCTTTGCCGATGCAAATCTTTCCCACAGTTAAGGGCTTTACCAGGCCTTCCTACTCTGCTTTTGCTCACTGCCCTAATCATTCACAACTGTCATTTAATTACTGTTCACACAGTGGTACAGTGGGGTGCTCAAAACTCAGGCAGAACTGCCCTGGGACCCTACTTATGGCACGCCTTTGGCATGTTAACTTCATCAAGCCTTATCAAAATGCAAATGATACTGACTGTTACAGAATGTGAGGAGTGTTGGAGATATTTATGGACTCAATGGGGTGCCCTGAACATGGGGCTCATGATAGCTGCTGTGGGTAGTGCATTGCTGCTTAACTGCTTCCTGAGTTTGTCCTATCTGGATTTTAGTCATTCAGATGAGAATACCTGTCCTCCTCATTTCTGACCTAGTTCCCATTCCAGAATAGTGCACAGTTCACTGTATTTTCTCAGAAGAAGGAAAAAAAAAATGGGTTGAATGGATCAAGTGAATTGTTTTCCTCCGAACAATTCTGCAGATTTTACTGGCAGCTCCGTCAAGGCAGCCTGAGAAAGACAATGTCCATGGGATGCAGTTACCCCTTCAGACCCTATTCTCAAATTAAAACTGTGTGACTAATTCCCAAAGCACTCAGATAAGCCATTCACACTATGGAAGTTACCATGTTGGATACACTATAATAGTTAACAGCCTAAAAATATTCTACAGAGATGGGATATGGGAACTTCGGTCAAATGCTGGAGTACTCTTCTTTCCCCTGGGACATGAACTCTGACTCTTCTACATGCAGAAGTCAAAGATAACACCTGTGTTTGAAAGTACAAAGCCTTCCGAACACCACGGAGACCATGTTAGCTCTATTACAGGTGGAAGACCTCTAGTGTCTTGGCATTAACTCTCCTAGCTGCCATAAAACTCCACACCAGAAGTAACATCACAAATATGAGGAGACTAACAATTTACAAAATTAAGTCTGATGAAAATCAATGCCTTGAGAAGAGTAACTGTAAACTGTAACACCACCCGTGACAAAATTCTTCATTTCAAATGTGATCAGTAGCTGTTACCAAGCGCTCCTGAAATCCTATCTGTGTCGTCACCTCTATTATTTCCTAAACTGATCTAGAGATCCCAAAAGAAAAATGTTCTTGGGGAATCACATCTGGCTTTCCCCAGAAAATCAAAAGTGCCTGAGAAAAAACACACTGCATATTCCCTGCCTGGGCTGAACTATGATCCTCAGATCTCAGCCTCCTGAGTAGCATGAGCTACTACTTTGAAAGTGGACCCATCTCTGATGTCTTATCAGTTGGTATTCTTTTATCTTCAACTAGATGTGGTAGTGCTGTGACCCCAGCACTTGAGAAGTTGAGGCAGGAGGGTGGTAAGTTCAAGGCTAGACTGGCTATGAGGTGAAATCTTGTCTTAAAATGAATGATGTCCATGTAACTGTAACCCCTCTGTACAGTATTTTCACAATAAAAAAAAATGAATGAACGAATGACTGAAAGCAACAATGGCAGCTGCTTTGAAGTTTACATCTAATTGGCTCATGAGCACTAGCACCCTCTTTTTATCTCTCCTCTTACTGTAGAGTGTCCTTACTACCAGGAGGGGGCTTGTAGGAAATTTTTCACTAGAGAACTAAAGTAAGGAGATGATGTTCCATTTGTATGATACATACAAATTTTTGAACAGAAGGCAAATTTATTTCCAATGGCTACATCCAGTGGTACTTAAATACAGAATTAACTGGCCAAGGTGTACAATCCAAAACTTTCTCTGGGGCTAGGCATTTCATTTGGTAATTAATTAGCCTTCAGCTTTTATTACTCTTAATAGTTATCAGGGGCTTGGAGAAGGGCTGGCCCTAGGAAAACTCTCTCCTTTGGTGGACAGATCCACATGAGACTAAAGATCATTCTCTTTAAGTCTAACTTCCTCTCAGACCTTTGCAACCCACTCTTTCTCTCCCTCAAAGCAGAACAGGGAGATCCTGGTGAAAGTGTAGGCACTCGGGGCTGTCACAATGTTTTCATTTGAAGGAGTACCCAACTGGATCTGAACAGGGATCCTCTGAGACCAGCCACAGGGCAATTCTGATCTCAATCACACTTACTCCAACTTGATCTTACACTTTGCTTCCTGGTTGTGAAGCACCTGTCCTTCACCCGACAATGTGGAGTTATAGAGTGCCCTAAACAGGCAAACATGAAGTCAAATGCTACCATTTCCTCTCTACTCTGCCTTTATGGGCACTTTGTTCTTGGAGACAAAATCACTTTTGGCTTATGGTTTGCAGATGACTAACTTCACATCCAAAGTTTCTCATGTACATGATGTATATCAAAACTATATGCAACAGAACAGCCATACTTTCAGCTACCCACCTACCCATGGAGCTCTAACACTTGTTGAAAGTTTAGAAGATGGTTCCATGGCTCTGCCTGTCCCTCAAGTGAAGTAAGAACAGGATGACAGGACAAAAGCTGAGCTATGCACCTTGGCTGTAAATGATGGAGAGAGAGGAACAGAGAGCTAAAGAAAGGAGGATCGGCTCACTGATAACTACCACTATCAAGACGTGGCTAGGCAGACAATCACACTTTTATTCTCCTTACGCTTTCTGACTGTCGATTTAATTTAATTTTGTCATGGCAGGATTAGCAACCAGGCCACAGAGGTGAAGGGACATTATAATAAGACAGCACATTAATCCTCTATCCCACCCAAGGCAGAAGCAAAAACCAAACAAATAGCAGCTTCCTGGAAATTGAATTTCTGTTATCCAGATGTCAAAGATGTAATACCCCAATTACACAAACTATTGCCAGCGAAGCATGCCAGCAAATATGCAATGGAAATGGGGTGAGCACAGAGCGACAAAATTGCACAGTCAGCATCTGGTTCTGTGAGTGAGTGATAATTAGCACTGTGTGTAGATACTAATAAACATTTATGTCTGAAATTACAACTTTTAGCAATGTTAATAAGGGATATATTGGCAATCTGTAAAATAAAAGGTCTTGAGAAGATTGTCATACATTAAGCAATGGCAGACATTTCCCGATCTTGCACACTCTTATCCCCCCCCCCCAATTACGAACAGCCACACTGTTTTGCTGAGAAATTAATTGACAGAGGAACCTACCTAAAAAAATGGGTTGTGTCTCTTTGGCTTCCCCATTAATATCGTTGGTGAATTCTGAGATCTTATAGACCTCATGGTGATAATCTGGCATGAGAAAACAACCAAAAATTAGAATCTTAATGACCTGAAGAACTAGGAATAAGCAAGAAATTACAGCCTCTGTGGTATAGATCATCCATAATCTATAGGTTTTGTGAAGTCAAATCACAGAATGTATTTGCAATAATAATCCTGAAACGTTACTCACTCCAAAGTAAACTTGAAATATTACTTGGTCTTCAGGGAAAATTCTGCCCACGGTTGCCAACCCTTAAGCTTCTTTGAGACAGCAAGTATGTTTGTAAGAAATAGAAAAGTCATGCCAAATCATAGGCCAGGGAAGGTTCCTAAATTTATCTCTATGGTCCATTTTTATAAGCATATCAATAGTATGCTTTAGAGAGTTATTCAGTTTTCTCAGTTAACCCAGAAAGCTGAAGTCATCAAGCAAATAAGCTATAATTTAAAAGGGAGTAAGATTTATATCTTTCATATTGTTTATAAGCAAGTTTTTTCTTTTGAATACACATACACACACACACACACACACACACACACACACACACACACACACACACACACAAAACACCTGAAGAGCAGAGACAAAACTTCGATTTATAATTTGAAACTTTAAAAAAGGGGGTGGAGAGGATTTGCTGTGTCAGTCTAAAATACAATATCTGACAAGCTTTTTTATGGAGGCTACACTTTGGCAGTCTTCTGTTTTTTTAAAATATACAAGTGCACCAGGACTGATGGTTCAGACTCTATAAACCCAGCTACTAAGAAGACTGAGATCTCAGGATTTAAGTTCAAAAGCAGCCTAGGCAGAAAAATCTGAGAGACACTTATCTCCAGTTAACCAGTAAAAAGTGTGTGTATGGTGTGGCTCAAACGGTAGAGTGAAAGCCTTGAGGGGAAAAAGCCAGTTGAGGTGGTGAGGCCCAGAGTACCAGTAACCCCTCCCCGCCCCCCAAAAAGCAAGAGAACAAGATTGCCTAGCTATGAAAATAGAAGTTCTTCTCCCTTCTTAACAGCTAGTCTGTTATTGGCCTCAGATGTCACCAGACACTGGGCAAAAACTACTCTCACTTTTAAGATAAGGTAGTAAGTTCCCTGAGGTCATAAACAAGAGACAGGAGCCCACATTCCTGAATGAATCACAAACCACAAAGGCACTCACATTAGGAGCAACTTCTGGAGTACAAATAACTTAAGTAATCAGCACCCCAACAGAAGAAAATGTACCAAGAGAGACGAACCAAATCTTTTGAATACATAAACTATTTCAGATTTCTTTTTATTTAAACAGTACCTAAATTAGGGGGAAACAGAGATGAGTAGAGATCCTCCAAATGTCTATAATTAAACCCCATTTCAGACTAACCCAAAGTGGGCTTTATTGAATTCACAGCTCAGCTGAGTTTGAAAACCTGGATTTGCAGTTGCCCTTCAATTTCCACGTGTTTCCACGTGATGTGTGCAGGTTGCTGAAGCAATCATGTGTCTTTAGTCAGAATGCCAAATGCTGGGTAAAATCCACCCAGGAAAAGTGGACAGGTTCCCTGGCTTGGCTTCCAACTCAAGTTGATTCAAAGACATTTAAACAGGCTGGATCTCAATTTAATGTCAGAGCACATGGCATGACCATTGAAAAATGAAAATCATGTCTCTTAAGGCGACACAAGGCATGTTGACAAACGCATTTTCATGGCTACTCTTTGTAACTGTCATTTTCTTTTTTAAAAAGAGTCAAATCAGGAAGACCAACTCTTAACAAGTAAACTGAACACAGACAGGACTATACTCAAACTTTCTCCTCTCGGGACCAAATACACCTGCTAAATCCTGAGACCCTAGATTTCTTTTTTCCTCCTCCTTCTTTTCTTTTGTCTTTCTCTTTCTTTTCTGCTAATGCTACTTGTCTGGCTAGTGTGTGTTCTAAAACACCTTTCCAAACCAAATCATCCATCTAGAAAATAAAGGTGTCTGGATAGCAATAATTCTGCTTTGGGCTCAGACACCTAAAACAATCCCACCCCCCACCCCCCGCATCTTTTTCTCTTTGGGGGGATGAAACGAGCAAATCAGCGGTCTGATCCTCCACGCTCGGCCTGACGGCCAGGACAGCCCTGGGCCCCCCGGGCGGGGAGCAGCACCCCGCAGGACTGGGGCGGGAGGGGGGGGGGCCGAGGTCATTGTTTGCTAATTTCCAGACGCGCCCTCCGACTTGTTTACGTGCGGCGACCGCCGGCCTCCTCCCCGCACAACTTTCCCCGCCGCGGGCGTGCGGGCGTGCGCGGCCGGGGCCCCCGGGGGCGCGGGCCGGGGCCGAGGGGTCGGGCGGGCGCGTCCCCGGCGCTGACTCCGCGGGCGGGCGGGCGGGCGGCCGGGGCGCGCGGGGCCGGGGGCGCAGGGCGCGGCGGCGGCGGCAGCGGCGCCTCCTCCCGCCGCCCCCCGGTCCCCGGGCCGCTTACCTCGGCTCACCAGTTTGAAGCTCTGGGATTTCCGGCTTCTTTTCCTCTCGGAGAACTCCATGGTGCGGGGAGGACGGCGGCGCTGGCGGCGCGGGTCGTGTCACCGCCGCGGGGACCGAGGTCCGCGTCTCCGGCCGGCGGGCGGGCAGCGGCGGCAGGGAGGAACGGAGCGAGGCCGAGCGACGGGAGGAGCCACCGCCGAGCCCGCTCCGGGGCTACCGGCCGGCGCGGGGTGGGCGGCGCGGGCTCCCGGACGAAGTTGCCCCCGCGCGCCGCCGCCTCCCGGAGCCCTAGGCGCCCCCCGGAGCCCCTCGCATGCCGGCGGGCCGCGGCCAGACGCCGCCCGCCGCAGCCCAACTTTCCGCCGGCAACGGGCCGGGCGGAGGCGGGAACGGCGGCGGCGGCTCGGGGCTGCGGACGCGGTGGTGATGGTGGTGGCGGCGGCGGCGGCCCGGGAGACGCGGGCGAAGGGAGGGCGGGCGCGGCGGGGAGGGCGGCGGCGGCGGCGGCGGCGGCGGGCGCGGAGCCGGCCGGGGCGCTGACCGCCCCCGCGGGAGGAGGGGCGCCGGGAGGGGGCGGGGCCGCGGGGACCCCGGGGCCACCTGCTGGCGGAGCCCGATCGCCGCCATCCCCCCCCCCCCCCCCCCATGGGGACGGCCGCACCGGCCTGGCCGCGCGGCGCCGCAAGGAGGCGGGGAGGCCGCGGCGCAGCGCCCCGGGCCCGGCCCGCGGAACGCTGGGGGGGGGGGGGGTCTCCGGGCCCTCGGAGGAGGAATCCTTGGGCCGGGGAGATCTCCCTCCGCCCGGCCGGCTGGGCTGTAGAAATAAATAGTCCTGAAGGGGGTGGACCTGCGGCGGCGGCGGTGGCCGGCGCTCGTCTCTTTTTCTGATCTTTTAAAGGCAAGTTTCAGGGGGTTGTGAAGTGCCTGAAGCAAACACACACACACAACTTAGCCATCCATGCCGTGCCAATGCGATTTCGGAATTTATTGCTGGGAAGAGTCTAGAAAAAGTGAACTTCTGTTCTTTACCCAGATCCTGGGGACTCTAGGAAGTCTGCCCCCCCCCAGTTGTAGTGGGGGGGGGGCGTGTGGAATGGGAGTCATGGAGAGGATGGAAGGGGCCTGGGGGGGGGCGGTGGTGGCTTTGCGGGTTCTCTGGGAAAGCAATGTCGGGGCAGGTGCAGGGGACTCCACCACCTGATAGAAATGCCCACACACACACCCGAATTGGCATGCCCAGGAAGCTGTTGTTCGTTGTGTGCAGTAATTCTGCTCTGGGGAGCTCAGTGCCCCACTGCAGGCTTTGGTTCTTAACTCTTCCACAAGCTCTTAGGCGGGAATAGAAAAGAATTTCACACCATCTGGGATTGTCAGTACAGAAGCGTGATCTGACATGTTTAAAATTCCCGCCTTTCTAGACCAAAATACAAAGAGAATCAAGGGATGGGACACCCTTCCCAGCACCCAAAGGGGAGAAAAGAAGAAAAAAATGAGGAAAGTCTGTGGATTCGTGTGATGGGTGTGCCTGTGGGTCCCACTCAAAAGAAGAGAAGGCTGCCAAAGAAAGGGGAGCTGGAAGCAACTCGCACTGGCATGCTGGGAAACACCACCAAAGAAGGGCAGAAGTAACAGACCAAGTGCAGGTGGGATGGGTACTCTTCCTGAAGTCCTGGGTATGACAGAGAGGGAGCTGGTGGTCCCTGGCCTAGGGTAAGAGCAGAGGGAAAGTTCCATTCAATGAAGCAAGTCGTTAAGCAAGAAGTTCTAAATCTTTTTTGGTCATTGTCTCCTTTGAGATTATATTAGAAAGCTCAGAGTTCTTTGCCCAGGAAACAAATATGGGTGCCAGTGGCCCGGGAGGCTGAGATCTCTGAGGATCGAGGTTCAAAGCCAGCATGGGCAGGAAAGTCCGTGAGATTCTTATTTCCAATAAACTACTAAGAAAAAGTGGGAAGTGGTGCTGTGGCTCAAGTGGTAGAGTGCTAGCCGTGTGTGTGTGTGTGTGTGTGTGTGTGTGTGTGTGTGTGTGTGTGTTCACATATATCTTGGAAGAATATTATATATACATATATATAGGAGTTTTGAGACTCCTTGGAGGTGATAAGTGATTATTTAGTTTTCTCCCTTTCTTTAAAACTAGATTTAAAAACTCTAAAGCTGTCTGTCTGATGTTTCTAGAGAAACTATACTATTTAGTGCCCCTAGATGAAATCCAGCTTTTTTACAATGCCCTGTGAAATGTTACTCTAATGGCCACGAAGCTGATCACTATACTAGTTAAAGACTACTTAGGGTTATTCATGCCTTGGTGTATAAATGAGATTTTATTATCCTTAAATTTTGATGAAACCATTGAAGTTACCCTCTCAAGAAGCAAATCCCTAGGGAGAACATTAGTAACTTGGGGTTTTTCAATTGGAGCCTGAACATAAATTCCATTTCTGAAGAGAATATTTTTTTATATTGTTAAGGAAATATTTTAAAGTAATATTTAAACATGAGTCCTTTTCCCTTGATCCTTTGTATCTGGCTTTATGAGTGAACTGATTTACAGAGGACATAAGCCAGCCTCTCCTACTAACTTTTAATGACAACCAAAAAAAAAATCACATTTAAAATTTTTTCTGGTGTCCTTATCATAAAGGTGATGTACAGAGGGGTTACAGTTATGAAAGTCAGGTAATGAGTCCGTTTCTTTTTGGACAATGTCATCCCTTCCCTCGCTGTCTCCCAGTTTTCCCCTTCCAGCCTCACCTACAAAACGTTTTTATTCTCCACCTCATGCAGATCACCTTGTCTTTTTTTTTTTGTCGGTCATGGGGCTTGAACTCTGGGCCTGGGCGCTGTCCCTCAGCTCTTCAGCTCAAGGCTAGCACTCTACCAGTTGGGCCACAGCGCCACTTCTGGCTTTTTCTGCTTATGTGGTACTAAGGAATCAAACCTAGGGCCTCATGCATGCGAGGCAAGCGCTCTACCACTGAGCCACCTTCTCAGCCCAGATCACCTTGTCTTTAGCTAACAAAATGTCTATATCCATAGTTAGTATTTGAATAATATTATCATTTTGTAATGAGATTAAGTAATGTATTAAGTAGTCTGTACTAGTCTGCTTAGAGTGCCTTTACAAAACACCATACAGGGCTGGGAAGGTGGCTCAGTGGGAGAGTGCTTGACTTGCAAAACACCATACACTGATGGCTTAGACAATAGACATTGAGGTTCTTACATTTATCAAAGCCTGAAGTTCCAGATCAAGGTCCAGCAGGGTCCGGTCCTTGTGAGGGATTTTGCTTCCCTGCTACCTTCAAGCTGTGTGTTTTCACGTGGCAGTCAGTCTGGGACAGGCCACATTCCCTCTTCCCATGAGGCTGCCACCCTTGTGACCTCAGTTAACCCAAATTATCTCCAATAAAAGGCTCCATCTCCAAGTACAGTCATGTCAGGATATGGGCTTTAGCATAGGAATTTTGCAAGGACACAACTGAGTCTCTAGCATTGTTGGTTTTGTTTAAATACAGTGTCTGTGTTGAGGTGCTCGTAAATCCTGGAGGAGATCCACTAAGGTATTTCTCTGCCTTGGTACTTAGGAGTTCCCAGGAGCTTCTGAACCACAGGTTTACATGTGAGCAGAGCTCAGGGAACAATGGTCAGATATTTCATGAGATCATGCAGGCCAAACATCTTATTATATGACCATTCAAGAACCCAGCTGATTATAAAGATGAAACATAAGTATTAATCTTTGACAAAGACAGGTAATTTGGCTAGAAGACATTAAATAACCATAACACTAATTCTTTTTTTTTTAATTCTTAAGACTCTCCTGAAAACTCTATCCTCAGAGAAAGAAATAGCATTATCAAAGTGTCTATCTTTATTTGGAGCCCTACTGTCCCCCAAATAACATACAAGCATATATGTAATTAAATTTTGTTATTTGTCATATTTAAAAAGTGAAAGATTAAGTTCATTGTGTGTGTGTGTGTGTGTGTGTGTGTGTGTGTGTGTATGTTTGAGGGTCTTACTATGTATGTAGCCAAGTCTGGCCTTGAACTCACAATCTTTCTACCTTAGCTTTTCATCACACATGTCTGACAGATTAAACTTACTTTAATAATCTATCTTATTTAGCTGAATCTGTTAAAATGTGGACATTTTGACATGTAATCAATAGAAGAGTGTTACAGAGATATTTTATGTTCTTGTGTGCAAAGTTCTGGAAGTGGTATGCAAAATATATTTCCCACTTAGAGAACAAATCAAGGCAGCAGTTCCATGTATTCAATCATATGACTACAAGACTGGACAGCTCAGATCTCAAGGAACTCCTGATTAGAACCGTGCTGTGTACATAGATATGACTACATAACTTGATTTTCACATAATCATTCTATTAATAACCTTCAAAGAAAGGAAATGAGCAGAATTATTGAGCTTGAGCTTTGTATCAGCCACTAGATTCTCTGGAGTTCAAAATCTAGCCACTAAGTGTATACTAGGAATATTTCAGGAAGACTTAGTAAATATAAATGTATTAAAATATAAATATACTTCCTAATAATGTTTCAATTTTATGACATTCAACCATGAAATATCATAAAGAAAAAAATAACCCAGCTTTCACCCATTTCTCAATTTGTTCCGGCTAATACAAGTTTATGCACTCATTTACTTCCTTGGTGGTTTTAATTTAAAAGAAAGGAGAAAGTGCTGGTGGCTCACACCTGTAATCTTAGCTACTCAGGAAGCTGAAATCTGAGGATTTCAGTTCAAGGCCAGCCTGTGTAGGAAAGTCTGTGCAACTAACCCCTGCCCCCCACCCCTGCACACACCCCCCCCCAAGTGGAACTGTGGCTCAAGTGATAATAGTGCTAGCCTCCAGCAAAAAAGCTCAGAGACAGCATCAGACTTTTGAGGTCAAAGCTCTACGACTGGCAGAAAAAAAAAGTATAAGAATGTTCCATGTGGGCCTTTTCTTTTAGGAATCCAAAGTGACATATACAGGATCTAATTCTCTTAATTGCTCATTTATGACATTGGTATCTATTCCAGGTTATCACTGAGAAAAATCTGTATTCATAAGACCACTTCTTGGTGAAACTAGAATGGTAGGCTAATTTCTTGTTATAAGTGATGG